CGGAAGGCGCTAAGGTTCCTTGAAAAATTTCTTATTCCTCTCCTTCTCCTCCTCTCTTTTCCTTCTTTTTGTTTTTTTTTGTGGGCAGCTCAGTCCACCCTGGGGGTGGGGCTGGTGAGGCGTATGGTGCCAGGGATCAAACCATGGTCCCTGTGCTTTGCCTTAGCTTGCCTAATCAGGTACTTTAGACAACTAAGCTATCTCATTGGCCTGTATGTCTATCACATGGTCATTTAATTGAACAGGCCTATTCGTGAAAGGGTATGAGTGTGTGGTGCCTCCCCAAGCCTTCCTCTCCTACATGTTTTTTTACTGTCTAGTCCAAGTGGGGATTCATCAAATTTGTCTTAGCTATGCCCAGTCCATATTGAAGCTCTCAGGTGACCAGGTCACTTTTTCAATGAAGTAGCCAATTTAAGATTCTTGCTATTACCTAGGAAATTAGGATACAGATCCAGGCATCCTAGCTTACCTGCTTTAGAGGTAGAATGCTGAGGCCTGAGCCAGGTCTGCAGTGGTCTGCAAAGGAATTTCCATGAATGGTTTCCTACTGTGGGCTGGGTTTATGATACCTGGCACTTCTCATGTGATGATGAGACATCCCAAGGCACCCCAACCTAGTCTCCTGAGCCCCCTGCCCAAGAGCCAACACTCTCTTCTAACAATAACTTTGGATGCTTGCAAGCCCCAACATTAACAGGAAATGAAAGCTGAAGAAAAGAATAAGGTAGTACGAGACTGGTTAATGTCAGTAGATGATGGCTGATTACTGAAATCATAGCTTTTTCTGGTAAGAAATTATACAATATTATTATTTTGCCTTATCAGTACATTCCATCACACATACTTTTACTTGACAATGATATTGATAGGTCTATTGTCTGAAAAGTAAAAAGACATTAATTTTTATTACTTATGGTGAACAATTTATGGAATTTTTCCTTAAATTCTGATACCATGTTTTTTATTCACTTTAGTTTATTTTGCAATGAGTTAGAAGAACAAACAGAAGAGAGATGAGAGAAGAGAAAAAAGAGAGAAGAGAGAGAGGTAGACAGGCAGAGGCAGAGATGGAGAGAGAGGGACTTCTGCCTGTTCTGCTTGGCCAGAGTTTTGTGATAATTTACATTTTACCTATCTCCTCAAAACTTCGAGTCTCTTTTCACAATAGGAAAAGATTCACGGATGCTGATTGAAATTATGGTTTTAGGGGTGGGTCCTGCCCCTCAGCTCAGTTCTTTAAGTGGTTGCTTCAACAAAGCAGTCAGGCTCAGGTTGCTGTGGTTTGATCCCCACAACTCAAGCCAGTCAAACCTGCCCTGAAGGCATTCGGAGAAAAAAAAAAAAAGAAATTATGGTTTGTTATCTTAGCACTCAATTGAAAGTAGCATTCTGAAGTATCATGTCCCAATGAAAATTATCATCAATCATAGAAACAAAAATACATTTTACTAAATTTTAACAAAACAACAATGCAGTCATTTAAATTGTAGACTAATGCCTGCTTAGGCAGAATGCAGCAGTCAGGGTTCAATCCCCAGCCTGCTGTGCGGGCCCCATCCGCAGAGCACACTGAGATGGCGATTGAGACTGGGCATGGTGGCATGGGCCTATAATCCCAGCACTTGGGAGGCTGTAAACAGGAGGGTCACTACGTGTCTGATCTACACAGTGAGACCATGTACATCTTGTATACCATGACCTAAATATAAAAACTAAAATAAAATTGTGGACTAAAAAAGTTCAAGTCTGCAATTTTATTTTCACATTTTTCTGCCAACATGACCCCTCTTAATGGAAGAATGATATTGTGTCTTAATTTTTCCTTGGAATGCATTTTATGTTATTGAATTTATTTTTCTCCAAGGCCTATAATTCATTGAGAAATAGAGTCACACTGAGAAATTATAACCTAACTCTTGGTAGGAAAAAAAAAATCTTACACACAGTAATAGTGTCAAGCAGCAATAGTTTATTTTCAGATGAATGCCTTTCTGCAATGTAGAACCTGGAGTCTATATCAGTGACATAGTTTCTGTCCCTTACTTCATTTACTTTTTAAAGGCTGAGTTTTTTTTTTTTTTTTTTTTTTTTTTTTT